CCCTGGATCTCTGCCCTAGGACTTCCCAGTTATGAAAGCCAATATAGTCCCTTTTTGCTCAAGCCTGTTTGAGTTGGTCTTCTGTCACTTGCAGCTGAAAACGTCCCATTGAATATACCAGGCTAATAACTAACTATGAAATCGGCTCCAAACCAAAGAACTAAGTCAGAGTGAAAATGTGTCTTCCAAGGGTCAGAATCCCATAGTTCTCTGGAAGAGAAACATACGAGACTTCTACCAGATCTGGACAGGCTGGCTAGAAGCGGTACTGCCCTTAGACATAGGCAGGAGAGACCCCTGCATACACACCACACACATACACACACACACACACACACACACACACACATATTAAATAACACATGGAAATCTCTGTCCCTGCCCCTCAGGATCCAGCGCTCAGCACTAGCACAGCGTGACCTCTAACTCCAACACATCCATTCTCATGAGCAGCACCATTCAGGCCCCAGGGAAACGCCTCACATCTTTTGTGTTATATCCTTGAATCAAAAAAAGACTGTGTCTAAATGCTGTGAAAATGTGTGGGCTATGCTGCTGTTCACACTGGAGACGACACTACGCTGGCTGTGGAGTGTGGACAGGAGCACACTAAGGTAAGAGAAAAGGCATTGATCAAATCCTTCCTCTCACATAGCAAGAATACAACAGAAGTAGCAGATCCAATGGTGGCGAGCATGCACTTTCTTGCTTCTCTTTGTGGTTGCAGAGGTACTCACAAATTAGCACAGTGTTTGCTACAGCTGCACACGGCAATTGAGGAGCATTTTGCAATATGAATAATTCATGATTCGCCTACATTTGCACATATGTAGGTAACATGCATGAGGCATGACACTAATGCTTTACATTGGCAACTAGACAGACATGGAACAATGCTACAATTGTAAATGAATTTATTTTTGTAAAAATCTTTACTAAGATTTTGTTACTTTTTTTTTTTTTTTTTGTGAGAGAGTCTCATGTTGTTGCCCAGGCTGGAGCACAGTGGCACGATCTCAGCTCACTGCAACCTCCACCCACTGCAGCTTCTGTCTCCCAGGTTCAAACAATTCTCTGTCTCAGCCTCCCGAGTACCTGAGATTACAGACGCCTGCCACCACACCTGGCTAATTTTTGTATTTTTAGTAGAGACGGGGTTTCACCATCTTGGCCAGGCTGGTCTTGAATGCCTGACCTCATGATCAAGCTGCCTGGGCCTCCCAAAGTGCTGGGATTACAGGCATGAGCCACCTCGCGCGGCCCCGACATTTTCAAGACTTAAATTTAAAAGTTCGCTTTACTTAAACATCTTATTTAAATGTTACATGTATTAGATAAAGTGGATCCATTATACTATTAGTTATATTTGCCTTCTAATTTTAATAGATAATGTTGAAGATTTTAAGCAAAAATAAATTTTTTAAAACTTACAAGAAAAGTAATTTTAAGCTTTGATCTTTTACAATTTATTTTAATTTACATTTTTATTAAAACAGGTGCACTTTTGTACTATTTTGGTTATGTTGCTGCATCACAAACCCCAAAACTTAGTGCTTTCAAATCAATTGGCCAGGCATAGTGGCTCACTCCTGTAATCCCAACAGTTTGGGAGGCCAAGGTAGGGGGATCACTTGAGGCCAGGAGTTCAAGACCAGCCTGGGCAATATAGAGAGACCCTATCTCCACACACACACACACAAAAAAAAAAAACCATTTTTAATTAAAAACAATTATTTTAATAAAATACTTTTAGCTCTCATGGTTCTGTGAGTTACCTGCGCTTAGTGGTCATTTATGGGGACAGGTCTCTCATGTGGTCACAGTCAAATGGCAGCAGGGTCTACAGCAAGCTTGTCCAACCTGCAGCTTGTGGGCTGCATGAGATCCTGAATGGCTCTGAATGCAGGTCAACACAAATTTGTAAACTTTTTTTTTTTTTGAGACAGTTTCTCTCTTGTTGCCCAGGCTGGAGTGCAATGGCACGATCTCGGCTCACTGCAACCCCTGCCTCCTGGATTCAAGTGATTCTCCTGTCTCAGCCTTCAAATAGTTGGGATTACAGGTGCACACAACCATGCTCAGCTAATTTTTGTATTTTTAGTAGAGACGGGTTTTCACCATGTTGGCCAGGTTGGTCTTGAACTCCTAGCCTCAGGTGATCTACCCACCTCGGCCTCCCACAATGCTGGGATCACAGGCATGAGCCACCACGCCTGACCCGCAAATTTTCTAAAAACATTATGAGATTTGTGTGTGTGTGTGATTTTTGTTTTTAGCTCATTAGCTATTGTTAGTGTTAGTGTATTTTATGTGTAGCCCAAGACAGTCCTTCTTCCAGTGTGGCCCAGAGAAGCCAAAAGATTGGACATTGTTGGTCTAGAGTCCAACACTGGCTCACTTGACTGCACATCCAAGATGGCAGCATCTTCTTTCACCTAGCTCGGGTCTCAGTCGGGATGGATGGAGTGAGTGGAGTCTGGCTGAATCTACTGCTTTCTCCATGTGGCCTTTCCATGGGGGTGGGTATCTTGGCTTCCTTAAAGTTTGACAGTCTCAGAGGAATCGAATTTCTAAGATGATAGCTGGCTTACCCCAGAGCAAGCTATCTAAGTGACCCAGGGAGCCAAAGGCTTCCCATGACCTGTCCTCAGAGGTCATGAAGCCTCACAGTCACTGCTTTCTGTTGGTCAAAAGCAAGTCACAGAGACAGACTGGATTTAAGAGAAGGGAAAGTTTGGGCATACTAAGGGTGTGACTCATGGGAGGGGCTATCTTGGAAGACCAGCTGCCACAATGTCTGCCCTCTGCCTCCCGTGAGTCATACACCTCCCAAGTGCGAAACACACTCCCCTTCCAAGACCCTTCATGTATCAGCCACGAAGCCTTCAGGCTCGGGCTTCAAATCTAGGACCTCAGCCTCCAACTCAGGTCCAGGTGCAAATAAGGCCCCCCAGGTATGGGTCTTTAGAGAGGGTTCCTTTTACCCTGAGGATCTGTGAGCTAAAAAGACAAGTTATCTTCCTCCATAGCCAACATGCAGCAACAAGGCAGGCAGCAGGCACAGGATAACGGCAACAGACACTCCCATTCAAAAAGGAAAAGAAACTTGCACAGTGCCATTCTGAAATCAAGCCAAGCACATGTCACCAGCGTCTTCATTAGACCTGGTCCCACTCTCGGGAAGGGGCTATCCCTAACTGTTGGCTTCACACTCAATTATCCTTCCTTTTCCATAAGAAATGACCAGGGCAATCAGGCACAGTGGCTCATGCCTGTAATCCCAGCACTTTGGGAGGCCGAGGTGGGCAGAAAGCTTGAGGTCGGGAGTTGGAGACCAGCCTGGTCAACATGGTGAAACCCCATCTCTACTAAAAATACAAAAATTAGCCAGGCATGGTTGCGTACATATGTAATCCCATCTACTGGGGAGGCTGAGGCAGGAGAATCCCTTGAACCTGGGAGTAGGAGGTTGCAGTGAGCCAAGATAGTGCCATTGCACTCCAACCTGGGAGATAGTGCAAGACTCTGTCTCAAAAAAAAAAAAAAAAAAAGAAATGACCAGGGTCTGCTGCCAAGTACCTTCCTGTTCTTGGCCTGCTTCCTGCTCATACAGAAGGTATCTTTTCATTTTGAACTGTCTCTATCCCTTTCCATCCAACCTGATACACTTCTTTCAAAAAATTGTGTTTCTTAAATACCAAATTATAATTTACTCCTTTAGACAATAGCCACACCCCTACTTCTCGCCCAAAAGGCTTTTTGCTACTTTAAGCCACTTGTGAGGTTGCTGTGGGATTCTTAGAAGTCCTGTTGTCTAGTAAAAATTCTCACACTCTGAAGATTCTTTGCCGGGCATGGTGGTGCGTGCTTGTGGTCCCAGATGCTCCAGAGGGCTCTCTGTGCCTAGGAGTTGGAGGCCAGCCTGGACAACATTGTGACACCCTGTCTCAAGGGGAAAAACAATATTCTCAGAAGCCCTACTGTCTATTTAAAGGGTCTACAAAAATAATGCCCTTAAATTTTTCTGAGGTTTTAATAAAGGGTTTTACAACCACACCCTTGATTTCACATTTACCGAAGGCCACAATTTACGGGCAGCACCCTAAATTTTATCTTTGCCCTGAGACCCTTTCTTATTTTGAAAGCCTTTCACTGGCTGGAACAACAGTCCTGGGCGCCTTGTATTTCCAAAATTCTACTCAAAACCTAAATAGTTCCTTCTTTGGTTCATCTCTATCTCTTCCTGTTTTTTTTATTTTTTTATTTTTTTGAGACGGAGTCTCGCTCTGTCGCCCCGGTTGGAGTGCAGTGGTGCGATCTCAGCTCACTGCAACCTCTGCCTCCTGGATTCAAGTGATTTTCCTGCCTCAGCCTCCTGAATAGCTGGGACTACAGGCATGCACCACCACACCCAGCTAATTTTTTATATTTTTGGTAGAGATGAGGTTTCACCATGTTGACCAGGCTGGTCTCCAACTCCCGACCTCAAGTGATCCGCCCACCTCGGCCTCCCAAAGTGCTGGGATTACAGACATGAGCCACCACACCTGGCCTCTTCCTGTTTTATCAGAGTCAGGTGGAGGAAGCTAATTATTAAATATCACTTTCAAAAGCTCCACCTGGAAATCGCCCTAGCCAGATCCCCTAGCTCATTGGGCGCCCTTTTCTATGTCCACGTCATTGCAGGTGAGGGGCTCACGTAACTCTTCTGCCAGTGCCTCGCTAGGTCTCCTCACTCCATCTCGACATTTCGGTACACCACAGGTTTTAGGTTTTTCTTACAATACACCACTTCCAGCACTGTGGTCCCGGCCTTCCAAAGAAGGCCCCAGTGAACAAGACCTGCTGGTCTTATGCCTTGTGTGGTGCTCCCACAGCGAATCTGGGCTGGCCTGTGACTCATCTAACAAATAGCAATGCAGTGGACGCAGTTGCATAACTTTTGGATGGACCTTTAGGAGTACTGGCAGCATCCTTTTCCTCCCATTTAACTTACTCACTTCTGGGAGTCCTGGGCACCAGCCATGGAGGAAGTCCAGCTACCCTCTTGGAGCGACCAGCAACTCTACGGGAGAGAGAAGGCCAGAGATTACACACAGAGGGATAAAGGAGCTGATGTCCCATCCTTCCAGCTGAGCCTCTTAATGATCCGGCCTCGTCCACCACGCAACCACAGCCGCAAGAGAATTCCCAAGCATGCGCAGCAGAAAAAGCTCAGCTAAACCCAGCCAAGCCACAGAAACACACAAAAATAAAATGTTGGTGGTTCTCAGCCCCTAAGTTTTGGGGCAGTTTGTTATGCAGCGCAAATGACTGAAACAACTCTGACACAAGCTTGTTTCCTCTTTCATCCTTTAGACCAGCACTGTCACTGGAACACAAATGATGAGTTCGCTGTTATAAAAACATGATTACTAATTTTACTGAAGTTAAGGCAAACAAATGAATTCTAGAGAGTAAATTTACGCTAATGTACAAATAAATGTCTTTATTCCTCACCCAAACATCACTGGCTTTCCACAGAATTTAAGAAAGGGGACCATACAAGGTTGGACATACTAGGGGTGACTCATTGTGCGGGCTATCTTGGAAGACCAGCTGCCACAATGTCTGCCCTCTGCCTCCCATGAGTCACACACCTCCCACGTGCGAAACACACTCCCCTTCCAAGACCCTTACGGTATCGGCCATGAAGCCTTCAGGCTCAGGCTCCAAATCCAGGGCCTCAGCCTCCAACTCAGGTCCGGGTGCAAATGAGGCCCCTCTGGTGTGGTTCTTTAGAGAGGGTTCCTTTTGCTGGCCCTGAAGATCTGTAAGTTAAAGAGACAAGTTTTCTTCCCCCATAGGCAACATACAGCAACAAGGCACCGGCAGCCACAGAATAACTGCAGCAGAAACTCCCAGTCTATTGGGAATCCCCTCAGGGGTTCGTAACTAAATTCAGTTGTCTTCAACACAGGGCAGACTTGCAGTCATATAAAAAGTATAACTTGGTCAAGTGTGGGGGCTCACGCCTGTAATCCCAACACTTTGGGAGGCCAAGGCGGGTGGATCACAAGGTCAGGAGTTTGAGACCAGCCTGACTAACATGGTGAAACCCCATCTCTACTAAAAATACAAAAATTAACCAGGTGTGGTGGCGCACGCCTGTTATCCCAGCTACTCAGGAGGCTGAGGGAGAATCGCTTGAACCCGGGAAGCAGAGGCGGTAGTGAACCGAGATTGTGCCATTGTACTCCAGCTTGGGCAACAGAGTGAGACCCCCATCTCTATTTTAAAAAAAAAAATTTAAGCCAGTTGTGGTGGTGCACATCTGTGGTTTCAGCTATTCGGGAGGCTGAGGCAGGAGGATGGCTTGAGCCCAGAAGATCCAGGCTGCAGTGAGCAGTGATCATGCCACTGTAGTCCAGCCTGGGCAACAGAGCAAGACCTTTAAAAAAAAAAAAAAAAATCCACCCACAGGCAATATCCAGCACTCACAGAGGACAAGGGGGTGGGGAAGAGACCAGGAGTCCTGAAACCCTCAGACAAGGCCAAAACTTGATTAAGCCACTATAGGTAAAGACAGGACTGGCTTCCTCCCCAAATTCCCCAAAGAGTGGGGGCTATTAACCCGACACCTGGACAGATGCAGAATCGGAGGGAAGCCCACTCACCGAGAAAAATCATTATCACATTCGACCAGTTAATCTGAATTCTGGGAGTTTCTGCAAGGCTCAGACAGAGCCTCTGACTCCGCATGCATGTGCAAGGATCCCACTTCAGTTTTGTGACCGTGGAAGTGCATCTACTTGTAGATGGGAGATTTCTTTACGCCTGGGTGAAGGTCCATGACTGAGCCTGTGTGGAAGACTGTGGGTGTCCGTGAGCAGAAGCGCCCCTGGTTCCGTGTGCAGGCTCTGAGGCCAGACTGCCTGGCCTTGAACCCCAAGTCTCCCAATTACTAGCTTTGTGACCTTGAGTAGACCTCTGTGTGACTCAATGGAGCTTTATGTGGGGGCAAATAACCACACCTACCTCATGCAGTTGTTGCAAGGATGAAATTACATAATCCTTTTTATAGTGTTAGGACAATGCCTATGATATAGTAAATTTCCAATAGGTGTTAGTTATAATTATGATGTGGGACTGTTTACATCCACATCTGCAAGTGTAGATTCAAGTATATCTGGTAAAGGTAGAGGGGTGTCTTTATATCTTTATTTATGAAGATATACACATCTGTGTGTCTGCATCTCTGTGTTTCTGTGTGTCCAGTGATAAGAACAACTGGCATTTATTGTGTGCCTACTATGTCACGTAGTAAGTTCTACAGATACTCACGTGAAAACATACACATACATGGATGTGAATGGCAACTACACATGCAGCCCTGTGGGAAGTAGAAAAGTTCTTTTTTAAAGCTTCCCTTCTTGTTAAAGAATAAGTGTGCTAATAACTGTGCTAAGCCCTATCTTATGCAGCTGTTAGATATGCCATGCTTACAGGCACGTAGTACACTCTGTCCTTGTACTTTAACCAAGTTATCTGTGCTGGATGTGCTCACAGGCATGTTCCAACTCTCCATTGCTTTTACCTGTTTAGAAAAGTTTTAAGTTTTAGCCCGTCGGGTTTTAGTTTAAATTGTTAAGATCTGGCTCCAGCCAATAAAGATCAGACACAGCAGTAAGAACGACCCCAAATGTGTAAGGGATAAATCTGTGTATTTTCCTTTGTTCATTGTACTCTTGTAGCATGATGGCTTCCCACAGTACAGAAAGTAAAAATTGCGTTGCTGAAAAATCCTTTGTCTTGCTGCTAATTTTTCTTTGTGGCACCGAGCATCTATTTCCAGCAAGCATGATTTACTATATCATAGGCATTGTACTAACACTATAAACAGGATTACGTTTAGGAGGCCACGGTGGACAGATCACTTGAGGTCAGGAGTTCAAGACCAGCCTGGCCAACATGGCAAAACCCTGTCTCTACTAAAAACACAAAAATTAGCCAGGCATGGTGGCAGGCATCTATAATCCCAGCTACTTGGGAAGCTGAGGCAGGAGAACTGCTTGAATCAGGGTGGCAGAAGTTGCAGTGAGCTGAGATTGTGCCACTGCGCTCCAGCCTGGGTGACAGCAAGACTTCATCTCAAAAAAAAAAAAAAGGATTAAGTAATTTCATCCTTGCAACAGCTACATGAGGTAGGTATGGTTATTCACACCACCCTCACATCCAGCCACATGTGCCAGTGAGTACCTGTAAGTGTGGCCATCTGCCTCAGCCCTGCCCAGTGAGACCCCCTTCCTGAGGGAACCACATGAGGGAAGGCAGTGAATGACACCCACCACCAGCCCCTTCCCCAGGCTCCCTATTGGCTTGAATTGCCCATGTCACATTTCCTCCAGTAGGAAAGAACAAATCAGGAGCCTGGATGAGAACTCACCAATCACAGACTTTGTTTCATCCTATGACTTGGTCTTGGCTTGGCCCAGGCTAAGAGCCTCCGTTTGAGAGTCTGTGAGCTCTGCAGGGGTTCCTACTGGGCCAGGCTAACTTTTCACAGGGGTGTGACTTTTGTTTTTCTTTTTTTTTTTTCACTGAGTGGCATGTACTGACTCATGGTGTATCCTCCCTGGGAGGACAGAGTCTAACATCAGCAAGACAGTGAATTCTCCTTGTGGATAAACCCCCCATGTTTTATGTGTTATGCTTCCTTTGGTTGCATTATCCAATGTTGGTAACATTTGAAGCTTAAAAGGATGATATTTGAAAATTTTGGGGCCAGGCACAATGGCTCACGCCTGTAATCCCAGCACTTTGGGAGGCTGAGGCAAGAGGATTTCTTGAGCCCAGGGGTTCAAGACTAGCCTGGGCAACACCGCAAGACCCCATCTATAAAAAAAAAATTAAAAAATTAGCCAGGTGTGGTGGCACACGCCTGTAGTCCCAGCTACTCAGAGGCTGAGATAGGAGGATCCTTTGAGTCCAGGTGTTCAAGGTTACAGTGAGCTGTGATCGCACCATGGCACTCCAGCCTAGGCAACAGAAGGAGACCCTGTCTCTTAAAAAAAAAAAAACTAAAAAAAAAATTTGTTTTATTTCTGTTGCCCAGGCTGGAGTGCAGTGCTTTTCTCTTTTGCCTTGATGGGTACATAATCGTCACCTTCACTGGCCTGAGGCATGCATCTCTGCTTAGAGAGAGACCAGGATTAATGTTTGATACAGACAGAATGCACAGAAGAAAAAAAGGTGGTAATGTTTGGCATTTGACACGCAAAACAGGATTATGCTGCAGATCAAAAGTCTTCTAAAGCAGGCTATTCTTTTGAGAGCATGTTTCCTGGATTCCCTCATCTCTCTCCTTGGGTGTGGCCCTGGAGTTTATGTAATGGATGACTGAGCAAGAAGAGGAAGAGTGTCGGTCCCCTCCTTCCTGCCTAGGGGAATTATGAAAGGGATTAGAAGGAAAGCAAACAAGTGGAGCCAAGCACTGGCCCACTCACCCCTCCCCGAGAGGGAGAAGCCCTTGTCCCTGACTCACACTGGAACTCTGGGAAGAAGTGGCATCCCAGGCAGCTGCAAACCAATCCGGCCTCTGCCTCCAGCCCAACAGGGCTCCCCAGTAAAGGAGAGGCACCACTGGAGTTCAGCTTTCAAAGTCAACTTCCATTCCTGTGAGCCAGCAGCCCTGCTGGGGCCACATGGCTCAGCTAGAAGAGCCTGTCGGGAGGAGGGACCAGGTGCAGGAGGGCTGGTCAGCAGGGGGCACCACAGGGGTTCTAGCCAGACCAGGAGGAACTGGACCATGAGGTTCATAAACTCAGCTTCTAGTATGATCAGTGGCCAGGAGGAAGAGGGGACATTGCTGTGTCCAGGGGACACCAACACCCCAGGATCCCAGCTGTTGCCTCCTGCCAGATGCCCCACAAGCTGCCCTTGTCTGTCTGCAACATCCCAACAGCACCACAGTGGGGGAAGCCAGGGAAAGCAGTCTGAGAACTAAGCATTTTATCCAAGAGAAATGAACAAAATCACTTAACAAGACCAGCTAATCACTCCAGCCCCGGGATGTTTAAATCAAGTTGAAAATTTCATTATTTTTCTCACTTATCGTCAGGCAGAGGTTGGAAGAAAGGCTAGATTCATTATAGATCCATAAATAACGAAATTACCTGTTTTCTGCACAATTAAATTACAGGATGAATTAAGTTTTCAACCCTGTTTCGCACACAAAAATAGAGGTGCCCCACTGCAATGTCCGCTGACTTTTCCAACCAAAGACAAGGACCCAAGCCTTCTGGATCCCCAGTTCCCTCCTCCAGGTGGTGGGGGACACTGTTATGGCAGTGAGGGCAAGGTCCCCGTTCAGCCCAAGGAGCGGGCTGAAGCCCCCTTATATCAGCCCCCTTGGGCTCACACACCACATCCCTCCCTCCTGGCTTATCTGTGCTTTTTTGAGGGGTGGAATGAGGTTTTCATTCTCTTTCCGGGCCCTTCCCATCCACGGTATTTCAGATCCCTCCTATCCCTGGCCTCTGCCCAGGGAGATGGGAATTTAATTGAGCGAAGAATGGTCTCCTGCCCTACACGCTGCATGACTGGGAGAGGCTGGGAGTGGAGCCGGCACATGCAAGGGCAATGCTGCCACCTGCTGGCGCCACAAAGAAACACAGCCCATGTGGGCAACCAAACCCCATTCGCCCCCCGCGGAACTGCACCTGGATGTCCTGCAGCTGAATGGTTCCTTTTTCCAGTGTGGCTTTTCACCTGTTCCTTCATTTAGTCATCCAGTGTGCTGGCTGGAACAAGAACATCATCCCATTTAATGGACAAGACAACTGACACCCACGAAAGAGCAGAATGCAGACTGAGGTCACAGGTGTGGGAACGGCTTGAAGGCAACGCTCAGTCTTCTACCTCCCAGCCAAGAGCTGTGTCCCCTCCTCAGTGCTCAGACAAGGTGCCCAAAAAGCAGGGGACCCCTATGAACGAGGTCTACAGGGCCATCCCCAGCATCCAGGGAGGCAGAGTGAGAGAGAGGGCACTAGGCAATAATGCCCACCCTGCAGTGGCCTGGTACAGGTACAGCGACTCTGTTTCCCAAGGTTGCACACCTTCCATGCAGGACATTTCAGCCACTTCGGTACCATTTTATGAAATAAAACAAGGGCAGGCTGGCTTCGAGGGAGGCCCTGACGAATGCCTGTCCCGCCTAACCGGGTTCCTCCAGATCCCAGAGGGCCCACCCCACAAGCTCACCTTGGTTCCTGTTCAGAGCTGTCAGTCTTAGGGGCTCCCTGGCTCCCCAGGATACAGGGTCTGATTTCCCCTGGCCTGGGGGACAGGAGTCCCCAAGTCTCAGGCTGAGTCACCCAGATTCCCTACACCCACCTCCATGCCCTGGGACACCTGTGCCTTGGGCCAACTGACCAGGGCAAACAGGCTGTGAGCAGAATCTCTCACCCTTGTCCTGCGTCCCCAAGGCCAATTCAGGTCCCCCAGGCCCTCTTTGCCAACAGGAAGTGTTTACTTCCCGAGGCTGGCTCCTCTCAGCCTGCTTGGCCTGCCATGAACAATTCCCAAATTGTGAGAGACAGCAGATGGCTCGGAGCCCGGGCTTTGACTGTCCTGCACAGGCACCGTCCTCAGTGCCACACCGGCCCCTGGCTCCGTCTCTTAATTACATCATAATAAAAATATCTCCAAGGTGGATGAGAGAGCAGCACGGAAAAAAAAAAAAAAAAAACAACGAAGACAAATCCATCTAACCCATTTCAGAATGGGCAGTGACTTTCCAAGCTGAGAAGAGATTACACTGGGAAAACGTAGATTGCAAAAAAGTTGACACTTCTGTACATCAAAAATATCCCAACATTAAAGTCAAGCAAGCCTCACAGGAAAAGCCTTTGCAACCTTAGGGTATATTTTTCCATGAATTGTCTGCTAATGTCCTTGCTGCTTTTCTGCTGGAAGCATTAGGTTGTCTGTTTGTTTATATATTAAACAGGAAAGGCTGCTTATTTTGAGCCCTTTGCATTTTGAACTCGTGATTGGATTGTCTATTAAATAAAAAAGAAAACCTAAATATAAGTCAAATAAAACCTTTTGGTTGATTCTGCATGAACAGTTGACAAATGAAAATTTCATACTAAAAAGTTTCCAAAGGGAAATTTCTACCACGGCCCTCAGCCCAGAGACCGGGAAAGGCAGAACTGTGGAGATGACTAAGCTGGTCAGTAGCAGCCCCCATGCTCACTGTCTCACTTCCAAGCACCCCATTCCCCAAGCCCCCGCACCTCCTTCACTCACTGTCTTGCGCCATCACGATCTGCTCTCAGAGGCGCTTTGATGAACTCCTCCATGCTAGGGAGCTGAGGATCCTCGAGGAGCTGCTCACTCTGCCTTTGAGTGCAGACACCATTCCATTCTAAGACCTAACTTCAACATTGCTGGTGTGGGCTGTGAAAACTTAAAAGTTGATTGATGGTGATGTTGCCTTGTTTTTTGTTTTTTGTTTTTTTTTGAGACAGGGTCTCACTCTGTCGCCTACGGCTGGAGTGCAGTGGCGTGAACATAGTCACCTCAGCCTTGACCTCTTGGGTGCAGGCCATCCTCCCATCCTGGCCTCCCAAATAGCTGGGACTACAGGTGTGTGCCATCATGCCCAGCTAAATTTTGTATTTTTTTTTTTTGTAGAGAAGGGGGTTTGTCCTGTTGCCCAGGCTGGTCTCGAACCCCTGGACACAAGTGTGATGTTGCTTTTCGATAAGGATCTGAAAGAGCTGAGTCCTGACCTACAGAACAGACCGTGAAAGAGCCAAGAGTCATTTTCCCTAATGGCAGCTGCAGGCAGAGTGTGTGTGTGGTGGCAGAGTTGGGGGGGGGGCGCTCACAGAGGATGTTGTGTGGTCAGCAGGTAGGTGATGGCCGGGCTGCCTTCTCACCCGCTGGGTGCTCAGCATCCCGACTCTCCTCTTTGCTCCTGGCTCTTCCAGCCCAGGCCTTCACTTGGCCAACACAGCCTGGAGGACAGAAAAAGTACCTCTTCTCTGCCCGAGCCCCCTCCCACCTACACACGCCGTGGCGGAGCAGCTCGCCCCTCTTTGGGCATGGGAGATGATGGAGCCGGTGGGAATCCCCTTCTTCCCCGGCAGTGGTCGCTGTCCCTCCTGAAAGCGGTCAGCGGTCACCCTCACTGCCAGGACTCTGCACTGTCCCAAGCCTCCTCCTCTCCAGACCTCCTTCGCACCTCTCCCCGCTCTTCTTGTCCTGGTAGGGTCCAGGAAAGGCTGAAAAGCTACGGATAGCCCCACGCTGCCCCCCAGGCTGCGGGTGACCTCGCAGTCGGAGGCTGGTCCTGTGGCCCGCCCTGCCCGGCTCCCGGGCCTCGGGGAGCCTTCTCAGGCAGAGCCGCAGCGACACCGTGTGGTAGAAGTCCGTCGGCACGGCCACACGGCTCAGAGCGGGCCCACAGACGTGCTTACAACAGCTCCCTGTCGACACCGGTGCTGGCGACACGCGAGTGCAAACACACCCTCTTGCCGTTCTCAGCGTTTGGGCCTTGCCTGTGACGGTAGGAAAAGAAATGGCCTTGCTGTGCTACAGCCGGGGCTGCAGTCAGCGCTTCGATCCTGAGACGTAACTCCGATGATGCTTGCCCACACCACCCAGGTGTTCCAGACTTTCCCGATGCATTGAAGGGCTGGTCTTGCTGTAAGAAAAGAACAACTGATTTTTCTGATTTCTTAAGCGTTGTAGGCTGTACAAAAGGTAGACATGCTAGTGAGAAGCCACCAGAACCAGTCAAACCTGAAGTCAAGACTACTGAGAAGAAAGAACTATCTGAATTGAAACCCAAATTTCAGGAAGACATCGTTCAAGCCCCACAGTCAGTAGAAGCAATAAAAAGGCCAAGCCCAGATGAGCCAATAACGAATTTGGAATTAAAACTATCTGGTTCCGCCAAACAAGCACCTGATAAACTGTCATCACGGAATGAAGAAGATAAGAAAGAAGACAATTGGGCCAGGTGCTGCGGCCCACACCTGTAATCCCACCACTTTGGGAGGCCAAGGTGGGTGGATCACAAGGTCAGGAGTTCGAGATCAGCATGACTAACATGGTGAAACCCTGTCCCTACTAAAGATACAAAAAATTAACCGGGTGTGGTGGCACACACCTGTAATCTCAACTACTCGGGAGGCTGAGGCAGGAGAATCTCTCAAACCCAGGAGGCAGAGGCTGCAGTGAGCCAAGATGGCGCCATTGCACTCCAGCCTGGGAGACAGGGTGAAACTCTGTCTCAAAAACAAAAAAAAAATGAAGAAGACAATGATGAAATTAGGATTGTGACCTCATGTAAGAATGGAGGGTGTTCAAAGACATATCAGGGTGCAAGAGTCTAGAAGAAGTCTGTGTATATCATTCTGGAATACCTATTTGCCATGAGGGAATGAAACACTGGAGCTGTTGTCGAAGAGAAACTTCTGATTTTAATACATTCTTAGCCCAAGAGGGCTGTCAACAGGGAAACACATGTGGACTGAAAAGGATGCTGGGAAAAGTTGTTCCATGTAGACCTGACTGGCATCAGACTGGAGTGAAGTTACCATTTCAGTATGTGCTTAAAATTCACTTCCAGAGCTCAGTCGAGTAGAAGCAAATAGCACATTGTTAAATGTGCACAATTGTATTTGAAGGAGAGAAAGAATTTGATCAAAATGTGAAATTATGGGGTGTGACTGATGTAAAGCAAAGTTATGTCACTATGACTGCAACGAAGATTGAGATCACTGTGAGAAAAGCTGAACCGATGCACTGGGCAAGCCTTGAACCGCTGCAGCCAAAGAGCAGAAAAACAAAGACACCCAAAGGAGGGAGCATGAGATGGGAAGAAGGCTATGATGCATTTCAGAATTCTTCATAGTGTGTGAAGTGGCGGCTTGCTGCTGTCGTCTTTTGTTTTGGTGTTGTGTTGCTGGATCTGGCATTTCAGGGTTCACATTAGGTTCTTAAAAGCCAAAGTCAGTGTGTCTTTTTGTGTCTCTCATCTTTCTTGTGTGTTATGTAAGATTGACTATTCATTTCTCCTTACTGATGGGAACCATAGTTGTGTCCTGTACTTGAAGAGGCTAGAAAATAGCCCATAACCATAAATGCAGTATTTCTTCGTATTTCTCTGTTAAGCAGAGAAATATTAAGGAACGTGATTTTTACGTCTTTCTATTATTCCATAATTAGTAAAGCAAGATGAAATGTCAGTTTTTAATCAGTTTTTTCTTGGATGTGTGTTCTTACAATACTTGAAAATATTTATGGAAGAGATCAAGTTGTTTTTTCTATGTGGGATGATTACTTTTTTAAGGAGGACTAATTCTGAGGTAGTGTAGTAAGTAAAGGGGAATGTATGAATTGTTTAACAAATTAGAATTTGTTTACAACTAATTGAATTTTTAAATTATGTCAAAACTTACATTACTTGCCAAGCAGTATGATGTAAGAGTACAGGAAACATAAGTAAGAATACAGAGGTATCAATTTGGCTACAATTCATCATTTTATAAGACTAAGTAATAATCTTAAATATCTCTTTCCTGAATATTTAAATAGGTTTGTATGGTGTTATGACTAAATTGTTACTGATTTACAGACTAAATCCTCTTAAAACCTTTAATTTGTTACATATAAAAAGAAATCATGTATATGTATCTTGCCTCCCTGATGGAAAACTATCTAAAATTGTAGACTTAAAAGGTTTGTGGAAATACATTAGGATATCAGAAAACTAAATATATGGACTTGCTTTATGACTATCTATGACATGTTAAATAAAATAGCCTAATTCTTAAAAAAAAAAAAAAATAGTTTACTGTCTAGTAGCTGCGGTCTTCCCTAGATCCCAAGAGAGTCCCATCCGCCTAGACTGAGGGACATCTGTCAAGATAAGGTCCCAGCCATATCCCTGCCCTCACCCACCGCCCCACACAGCAAAACACCGAGAAGGGAGCGGGTTTCTGAGTCAGGTGGACTCTGTCACTTCCACCTCCTCTGTTTGGCAGATGTCTGAGCTTAGGCAATTACAGAACCATATCAAGCCTCAATATCTTGTCTCTAAAATCGGAGTCATAAAAAAAAAATTAGGTAATTAAAAATGTAGAGCAGCAGACAGCAGCAGGTGTCCAAGAAACAATAGTTTCCTTCCCCTTCTGTCTGGGTTTAGAGACTGAGAAACCTAGATTGGCTGAAAGGCAAGGCCAAGAAGACGGTCAAAAACCAATGCCTAGGATGAGAAAATTTCCCCTCAGCTCCTGCAAGAAATCATTCTTCATTGTTTCATCAGCTACTTTTTGCCTCTCTGAACACCTTCCATTTGGGCTACAAACCAACCTGGTTTGCCAGGCACTAAGGAATGTTCTGGAAGATGAGGCCTTCAGGGCTAAAACTGGGCAAAGTGGTCTCCCAGTCCTGTGTTGCCTCACAGTCTAGCTCCAGGACTTCATAAGTAGAGTTGATAGAATCTCTGGGGCTTCGGGCTAGGCACGGTGGCTCACACCTATAATCCCAGCACTTTGGGAGGCCAAGGTGGGAGGTCAGGCTGAGGTTGGGAGTTCGAGACCAGCCTGACCAACATGGAGAAACCCCATCTCTACTAAAAATACAAAAATTAGCCAGGCATGGTGGTACACACCTGTAATCCCAACTACTCAGGAAGCCGAGGCAGGAGAATTGTTTGAACCTGGGAGGCAGAGGTTGCAGTGAGCTGAGATGGTGCCATTGTACTCCAGTCTGGATGACAGAGCGAAACTCTGTCAAAAAAAAAAAAAAGAATTATCATCTATGGGGCTGTACCCCAGGAATGTGCTTTGTAACAAACTCCCCAGATGATTCTTACGAACATCAATGTCTGCGAGGCACGGCTCCAACACTCTCAGGCTGTGGTTTCTAGTTGACACCTAGTGCAAGTCATTAAGCCACCTGAGGCAGGGCATGGCACGTGCTTAGGGATGAGACTTTGGAAAGACTGCAAAGAACTCTCTAAACACCAGGCTTTGGCTCTGAATCTGCAAAGCACACCAGAAGCACCTGGACACATGCCCTCTTCTCAGCTTTAGAGTTTGTGTCCATGTGCTGCTTCTCCACTTTCTGCCATTCTTTCATTAAATATTTGTTGAGTACCTACTAGCTTGGTAGTAGGAACTGATATCCTGGTGATGTAAGATAAGCAATTAACACTTGTATAAGCATAATAAATTTATATCATAATAAATATAATAAGAAACAGACAAGCAGAGTGATTTGATGGGGAGAAACTGTGTTCAAAGGCATCTCTGAGAAGGTGGTATCGGACTGAGCCCTGATGGTTGAGCAGACAGCCATCCTAAGATGTGGGGGAAGCTATTCTTAGGGAGGAATGGCCATTGCAGAAGACCCAAGGCAGAAACAAGGACTAGGAAGACAAGAGCAGCTGAAGCATAGCGAGCTGGGTCAGAGTGATGGCAGCTGAGGCTGCCAAGGTGGGCAGCAGCCAGTGCAGACATGTGGGGCCTTCTGGACCACTGCAGGCCTTTGCATTTCTTCTGCATGCAGCAGCAAGCTATAGATGGCATCAAGCAAGGAAATAACAGACTTGTGTCATTAAAGGTTAATTTGAGCTTCTGTATAGAGGAAGGATTGAAGAGGGATGAGAAGTGGAAGTTGGAAGCCAGTTAAGAGGCTCCTGCAATCGTCTAAGCGGGACATAACAGAAACTACAGAGGAGCAGAAGGGCAAGGATTCAGGAAACAGATTGGAGGAAGATACAGGACTTGCTGATGGATGAGATGTAAGAGGGGTTAGATGGGTATGACCAGAGCTCTCTCCCAAATTTTTCAGTTAGAATCAGGTGAATGAATGAAAGGGTCACTTTTGTGGAATGGGAAGGACTAGGGGAAGAGCAGGTTTGGGAGAGAAAAAATGCACAAGTTGTGTTTTGAGTATGTTAACTGTGAGCTGCCTGTGAGTCCTCCAAGCGGAGATGGAAGTGTGCTGATGGAGGGGCCAGGCTCTGTGCAAAAGCACAGGGAAGGACACCCTGACTTTATCTTCAGGCCAGTTTAACAGATTGAAAGATTACAATAATTTTTGGTTTAGGTAGAAAGGATGCTGCCTATTCCTTCTAAATAAAATTCTCATTAAGAAATTTGAAAATTACCAGAAACAAATAAAAAGCAAAAAACTAAATCATGTCACCAGAGAAAATCACTTCACTAAAAAAAGTTATGAATGAAAGAAAGAAGAGAGAAGACCACAAAATGAGAAAACAAGTAACAGAATGGCAGAGGTAGGTCCTTACTTATCAATAATAACATTGAATGTAAATTAACTAAATAGTCCAATCAAAAGACACAGACTGGCTCAATAGAAAAAAAAAAAAAAAAAAAAAAAAAACATTGATCTGTTACCTACAAAAAACACACTTCACCTGTAAAGACACACGTAGACTGAAAATAAAGGGATGGAAAAAGATATTTCATACCAATGGAAACCAAAAAAGAGCAGGAGTCAGTATACTTATCAGACAAAATAGATTTCAAGACAAAAACTGTAAAAAGAGGCAAAGAAGGTCATTATATAGTGATAAAGGGGTCAATTCAGCAAAAGGATAAAACAATTTTAAATATGTATGTACCCAACACTGGGACACCCATATATATAAAGGAAATCTTATTAGAGCTAGAGAGAGAGGCCCCAGTACAGTAACAGCTGGAGACTTCAACACCCAACTTTCAGCATTAAACAGATCTTCCAGACAAAAACTCAACAAAGAAACATCAAACTTTATCTGCACTATAGACCTAATGGCTCTAACAGATATTTACAGAACATTTTGTCCAAGAGCTGCAGAATACACATTACTTTCCTCGGCACATGGATCATTCTCAAGGAGAGACTATATGCTAAGTCACAAAACAAGTCTTAAAACATTCAAAAAATTGAAGTAACATCAAGTACCTTCTCTGACCGCAATGGAATCAAACTAGAAATTAATAACAAGAGGAATTTTGGAAACTATACAAATACATGGAAATTAAACAATATGTTCCCTGAATGACCAGTGAGTCAATGAAGAAATTAAGAAGAAAACTGAAAATTTTCTTGAAATAAATGATAATGGAAACACAGCATATCAAAACCTATGGGATACAGCAAAAGTAGTACTAGCAGGGGAGTTTATAGCTGTATGTGCCTACATCAAAAAAGAGGAAAAACTTCAAATAAATAATCTAACAATGCATCTTAAAGAACTAGGAAAGCAAACAAACCAAAAATTAATACATAGAAAGAAATATAAAGATCAGAGCAGAAATAAATCAAATTGAAATTTAAAAAACACAAAAGAGCGATGTAACAGAAAGTTTGTTTTTTGAAAAGTTAAACAAAATTGACAAACCTTTAGCCAGACTAAGTAAGAAAAAAAGAGAGAAGATCCAAATAAATGAAATCAGAAATTTAAAAGAGACATTACAATTGATACCACAAAAATTCAAAGGGTCATTTAGTGGCTACTATGAGCAACTATATGCCACTAAGTTGGAAAATCTAGAAGAAATGGACAAATTCCTAGTTACATACAACCTACCAAGATTGAACCAGGAAGAAATCCGAAACCTGAACAGATCAATAACAACTAACGAGATTGAAGCCATAATAAAAAGTCTCCCAGTTAAGAAAAGCACAGGACTTGATGACTTCACTGCTGAATTCTAACAAACATTTAAAAGACTAATACCAATCCTACTCAAACTATTCCAAAAAACAGAGGAGGGGGGAATACTTCCAAACTCATTCTATGAGGCAAGTATTACCCTGATACCAAACCCAGAAAAAGACACATCAAAAAGAGAAAACTACAGGTCAGTATCTCTGATGAATATTGATGCAAAAATCCTCAGCAAAATACTAGCAAACCGAATTCAACAACACATTAGAAAGATAATTCATCACAACCAGTGGGATTTATCACTGAGAAGCAAGGATGATTCAACATGCAGAAATCAATCCATGGGATACATCATATCAGCAGAAGGAAAGATAAAAACCACATGATTATTTAAACTGATGCTGAAAAAGCATTTGATAAAATTCAACATCGCTTCATAATCAAAACCCTCAAAAAACCGGGAATAGAAGGAACGCACCTCAACATAATAAAAGCCATATATGATAGACACATGGCTAGTATCATACTGAATGGGGAAAAACTGAAACTCTTTTCTGTAAGATCTGGAACACGGCAAGTATGTCCACTGTCACCACTATTATTCAGCACAGTACTGGAAGTCCTAGCTAGAGCAATCAGGCAAGAGAAATAAATAAAGGGCATCCAAACTGGAAAGAAAGAAGTCAAATTATCCTTGTTTGCAGATGATATGATCTTATATTTAGAAAAACCTAAAGACTCCACAAGAAAACTATTAGAACTCATAAAAAAAAATTCAGTAAATCTGCAGAATACAAAATCAACATACAAAATTCAGTAGCATTTCTGTATGCCAACAGTGAACAATGTGAAAAAGAAATTTTTAAAGTAATCCCATTTATAATAGCCACACATAAAATTAAATACCTAGGAATTAACCAAAGGAGTGAGCAATCTCTATAATGAAAACTATAAAACACTAATGCAAGAAATTGAAGAGGACACCAAAGAATGGAAAAATATTCCACGTTCATGGATTGGAAGGATCAATATTGTTAAATGTCCATACTACCCAAGGCAACCTCCCAGCCAATGCAAGACTCTCTTCTCCCATATCCCACCTTCTGCTCCACCACTTTTTTCCTGGTAGAGATAGGGTCTCACTATGTTGCCCTGGCTGGTCTGGAGCTCCTGAGCTCAAGCAATTCTCCAGCTTCAGCCTCCCAAAGTGCTAGGGCCACAGGCCTGAGCCTCAATCACTGGGTCTCAGTCACTTTTAAATCTGGGAAATGGCACTACTTCACCAGTCAACCCATCCCTTTTCACAATAGTGCTAACCACTTTAAAAATAAGTCTGTCTCCTTGTAGTCATCACCCACGGGCTCTAGTTCTAAGCTCATGTTCTTTTCTCTAGGGCAAGCCTGTCTATGACTATTTCTTCTTTTACAAATATTTGAAAGCAGCTCAGAACTCCCTCCTCAGTCTTCTCTTCTCCAGGATCCACGTTCCTTGGAGTTTCAACTGTAGTCACCATGGATGACCTATTATTAGAAGAAATGGAGGGGCATCCGTCCCCTAGATCACTAAGGTCAGAAGTCGTCATGCCAAAGACTTTGTTGGGAAAGGCCGAGAACCAAAATAAGGAAGCAAAGCTCCTCACCCCACCAGGCTTTCCCAGAGCTTAGACTCTACCCCCAGCTGCATGCTGGTACTCCCAGCGGGGCACTCAACCAGCAGGAAGAACGCAGGCAATTAAAGGTAATTCGGTTTTACAGTTCAAGTTAAAAAGAAGAAGAAAATAGATAAGATAAAAATAAATGTAGAGAAAAAAAGAAGATTAAAAGGAAATAAGTGAAAAGACTAAGGACAGAGGGCTAGGAAGAATGAGACTTTCAAAGGGAAAGAATATACTCATTAACAAAAGAGTTTCATCAATACCATGGGAAAGATAAAACTAAATCTCAAAGGAAAAAAATTGTAAAAAGAGGTTTTTGTTTTTGTTTTGAAGCAGAGTCTCATTCTGTCACCCAGGCTGGATGCAGTGGTGCAATTGCAGCTCACTGCAATCTCTACCTCCCAGGTTCGAGAGATTCTTCTGCCTCAGCTTCCAGAGTAGCTGGGACTACAGGCACATGCGCCACCACATCCGGCTAATTTTTGTATTTTTAGTAGATATGGGGTTTCGTCATGTTGACCAGGCTGGTCTCAAACTCCTGACCTCAAGTGATCTGCCTGCCTCGGCCTCCCAGAGTGCTAGGATTACAGATGTGAGCCACCATGCCCATGCACTAAATTTCTTTTCAAAAGCTTAAGAATAAAAAACCTTCGGACAATAAAATAATAGTTAAAATTAAAAAGATGATTTTCAAAAATGACCTTAAACGTTATAAAACTAAAGATAAAGCAGAAAGAGGTGAAGCTAAAGGCTGGGGGATAAAGTCCGAAGGCTAGAAGCACCAGGCAGGGCTGGGTGAGGAGTCTCGTTGGCTTTTTCCAAGCTTGACCTTTTCTTCAGGGGACTCCTGAAAGCTCAGATCTTCCACCAGCTGCGCCTTGTGTCCAAGGCTCTGGAGTCCCACTTCGTAGGTGTCTATCAGGAAAGGCATTCAACGGTGTCTCCCCTGGAATCAGACGGCAAATATTTGCATGACTGATGTAACATCAGCTAGTCCCCCAGCCCTTCAGTCATCACTCTTAGGATGTGAATTCCAGAGCCCTCACGCTCATGGATCATCGCATCAGAAACCATCTTTATGATTTGTTTTGTTTTGTTTCAGACAGGGTCTCACTCTGTCACCCAGGCTGGAGGGCAGTGTTTCGATCACAGCTCACTGCAACCTCCACATCCTGAGCTCAAGCAATCCTCCCACCTTAGTCTCCCCAAAGTGCTGGGATTACAGGCATGAGCCACCACACCTGGCAAAAACCATCTTTAAAGGTGATTTCACACACCTGGAAAATTATGCAGACATCTATAGAGATAGATGATCTAAATCTAGATAAAAATAGAGATACAGATAGATACAGATACAAATACAAACAAATACAGATCCCTTGCACCAGCAATCCTACTTCTATCCCAAAGATAGGCTAGCAAAAATTGCTAAACTATGTGTGAACAAAGTTCTTGATTGCAGCACGGTCTACAAAACCAGGAGGCTGCAAACAGTCCAGATGTTCATCAGGAGAGGACCGCTTGGATAAACGGTGGTGCAGCCAAGTACGGTA